GACGCGTTACAAAAGCTTAAAGGAAAGACATGTGCGTGCTAGGAAATGAACTGTGGGTATAAGGCCTGTATTAATATGCAGATTGCCTCCTGCCCCTTCGCCTTCTCAGACTAAAATAAGATCTGGCTGCTTGTCTGGGCTCATTTTATGGTAGCGCCTTTATTTTTTCCCCAGTGGCAAAACTCTCTCATTTGTTAAGTCCTTGGCCAAGTGGTGATGCTCAGCCGGGAGGATGCGGGGGATGGGGGTGATGTCATTATTGTTTGACAAAGTAAAGGACCCTTTCCCCTCCAAGAGGCTGCTTGTGAGCGGCTCACCCAAATGGTCTTCTCCTGGCCACCTCTAACGCGGCCTTCCGCCTCTCTTGTTCTTCCAGTTTCCATTGACTCCATCCAGGAGGTGTGCGAGGGGAAGCAGTCGGAGATCTTCCAGCGCTATGCCGACGGGAGCTTCGACCCCAACTGCTGCTTCAGCATCTACTACGGAGACCACATGGAGTCCCTGGACCTGGTGTCCTCGACCGGGGAGGAGGCCCGCACCTGGATCACAGGGCTCAAGTACCTGATGGCAGGGATCAGTGATGAAGACAGCCTGTCAAAGCGGCAGAGGACGAGAGACCAGTATCCTTCCGAGCTGGGGGGAGGTGTGTGGAGGGTGGCATGGGGGCGGGGTGGCATCACTCCTAAAGGAATTTGTGGAGCTGTCCTTAGTGCTTATTTCACTAGCAGCAAGTGCAAGGCACGTGGGGCTCCGGCCACACGCTCCTGTTCCCAGAGGGCCCACACATCTGAGTACGGGATGCAGCGTTTCAGCCCAGAAGAGATTTTCCCTTGCTGTGCTCTCCCCTTTGGACCCCTCCTTCAGTCCAGCCCAGCTGCCCTGTTTTCTGTCTCTCTTCCACGCACATCCTGAGAGAGCCAGGGGTGATTTTCAAAGGCCCAGATTATGGCACCGCTCCCCATGACGTTCAGAGGGAGATGGGTTTCTTTGGGTCTTTGACAATACCCTTGGCAGTAGTTCTCTGCCTGCTGAGTTGAGACTAGCACACGAGTGGGAGGAGCTAAGGGTGGATGGACATCTGTGGGGCTCTACCACAAGTTGTCATCATGGAGGGAACTCTCACCAGCTGACACTTTGCAAGAGGATGAGAGGCCTGTGCTAGGCATCTGCAGAAGGGAGAGGGGTTTTAAAAAATCAAGGGCCGCATTCTGCCTTCGGAAGACCGATGCCTTATCCATCTCACCAGGGACAGAATCCAACCCTAAGTTTATACTTGTTCAGAGCTTAAAATAAAGTCTCATTGTGTATGTGTGGGGAAATAGCCAGCGCTGCTGCTGAGGTTTGCATGTGGAGGATTTTAATAGGCATCATTTTAAGCTCATGCACAGACAGACCACAATCCTCTCTCCCACACCTGAATGTCAGGATGCATGGCCGGAATGGCATCAAACCCCAAATTAGGCAGCACCGTCCTGGCTCAGGGCTACTGCTGAGATGCTAAATGCCCCTTCTAAATGCTGGGCTATTGTAGGGTGTCTACTGCGGTCACCACAGAAAAACAGCGTTTGCTGCTAGCGATTGCAGAGACGCCCTCATTTTCTGTCCCTGTCCTCCGAATAGGACACATTGTAGGCCAACTATTGTCTCTTTGGTGATGGCCACAGGATATGTAAGATTATTAACTGTGGCAGGTAGGAAGCCTTTGCTAGCCCACCTGCTTGTTAGATCCTGTTCTGGAGAGGGAAGTCTGCTCCCAATACTGTTGCACATAGCCAGGGAATGTCCTAGTGCTGGTGAGAGGAAAAGGTGATTGGGGTCCCTATAGGAAACAGTGGCCAAGCAATATTAGGCCGAGCCAGTGTGAGCTCCTGGTCTGGGAAAGAGATGCTGGAACAAAGTTTGTAAGAACTCGTTAGCCTTCGGGAATGCCGCTGAGCACTGCATGTCTTTCCGGGACCAGTAGCGTGTTTCACGCGCGTCGGCAAGAAAGGGTGCTGGGAGCCTGTTGAACATGCGTGGATGGTGCCTGCGGTGCACTTGCATGGTTTGAATTGTGAGGGGTGGTACCTTGTTCCAGCAGTCAGGACTCCCAGGGACAATAGAGCTGCTCTATTGTCTTTCTAGTTAAGCTAGCTATTAAGAAAACCTTGCTAATGATGAGTGCAGTCAAGCTCTGGAACAGGCTCCAAGGGAAGCAATGGAATCCCTGTCGATGAAGGTTTTAAAACAGGTGGGACAGACACTTATCAGGGATGTTCTAGGCGTACTGGAGCCTGCCTGAGCACAGGGGGTCAGACTCGATGTGCTCAAGAGTTCCCCCCAACCCTTTGTTCCTGTGATATTTTTTAATGTGAGGTTTATAGCCTTGGCAGAGAGGGCAAGGCCGATACCAGATCTGCACTAGACCTGGAAGGTCGTCTTAAGGTACACATCATCAGCAACGTAAATTTCGGAGCTGGAGTTGACATACTGTAAGCCGAGCTTGGTGCCGTCTTCACAACAGGAGGCCTATAGGAGCAAACACTCCCATCAGCTTCCCTTGCAACTGAGAAGTACAGGTGCTGGTCAGAGCTGCCCTCAGTGGTTGATTTACGGGTCTTAACTAGACCTGCTAAATCAAATGCCAGAAGAGCGATCTCTGGCACAGCCCGAGTGTAGACTGTTGTGCTACATTTGTGCCACTTCAGTGCTTAGGGTAGATCTTTCCTACAGTGACGGGGTTTGTTTTTTTCAGCAATGCAGTAAATGCACCACCTTGAGAGGTGGTAGCTAGGTCAATGGAAGAAGAGTCTTCCATTGACCTAGTTATGTCTATGCTGAGGGTTTAGAGCAGCTTAACTGTGTCTTTCCCTTGATGCTCCCTTGCCTTTCTTAACTCCAACTAAATGTGGTTGAAGCAAACCTTTGATGAGGCCGATAAGAACGGTGACGGCAGTTTGAGTATTAATGAGGTGCTCCAGCTGATGCACAAACTGAATGTGAACCTTCCCCGGCAGAAAGTCAAGCAAATGTTTAAGGTAAGAAGTGAAAATGATGGTTTCTAAGAGAGAAAGGGCTGAGCTGCAAAGCCCTAATGCACAACACAACCAGGCTACGTCTACACTGGCCCCTTTTCCGGAAGGGGCATGGTAATTTTTGAGATCGTAATAGGGAAATCCGCGGGGGATTTAAATATCCCCCGCGGCATTTAAATAAAAATGTCCGCCGCTTTTTTCCGGCTTTTAGAAAAGCCGGAAAAGAGCGTCTACACTGGCCCCGATCCTCCGGAAAAAGCGCCCTTTTCCGGAGGATCTTATTCCTACTTCGAAGTAGCGCTGAACCGATCAGCTGTTTGTCAGCTCAGCGCGCTAGTCTGGACGCTCCGCGGTCGACATCAAAGGCATTTGTCGACCTCCCCCGTAAACCTCATCCCACGATGCATACCGGGGAGGTCGACAAATGCCTTTGATGTCAACCGCGAAGCGTCCATACTAGTGCGCTGAGCTGACAAACAGCTGATCGGCTCAGCGCAGCAGCCATTTAAATTTAAATGAAGCGGCGATTATTTAAATCGCCACTTCATTTTCCTATGCCGGGTAGCCTAATCTACATGCCTCTGTCACCAGAGGCATGGAGTCTAGACATACCCTAAGTGCAGGTGAGACCAACACCTGTCAGAGATGGTCTAGATGGTGCTTGGTCCTGCCATGAATGGACTTGATGACCTCTCGAGATTCTTTCCAGTTCTGTAATTCCACTAACTGCAGAAGTAAGGAACTCATTGGGCCCACTCATGGAGGACAGTGATAGTCTGTGAGAGAAAGGGTATCAACATTTGACCAGTCTTGTTATAAACCTGGTCTTCTTTGACAATTGATTGCCCTTGACCATTTCCAGACATGAAGCGAAATGGACATTCTTCCACTTGCAGTGGACCGCTCCTTTGGTGACTAGATGGACTGTCTCCATGAATCATGTGTTCTATCCAGAAGTCAGCTGCTACCTCTCACCAACTAGTTTCTGTTACCAGAACTATCTCTCTACAGTACTGGGGATGCCTTTCCTAAGCTGGAAAGGGAGACATGACTCTTACGGAACACAGCAGGAGGGAAAAGCAGACACTAATTTAAAGATCCTATGAACTGACTGAGAAATATCTTAAATAGCAGAACTTGGATTTAATCATAGAATCATAGAACACTAGAACTGGAAGGGACCTCGAGAGGTCATCGAGTCCAGTCCCCTGTCCTCACGGCAGGACTAAGCACCATCTATATCATCCCTGATAGATGTCTGTCTAACCTGCTCTTAAATATCTCCAGTGATGGAGATCCCACAACCTCCCTAGGCAATTTATTCCAGTGTTTAACCATCCTGACCATTAGGAAGTTTTTCCTAATGTCCAACTGCAACCTCCCTTTCTGCAATTCAAGCCCGTTGCTTCTTGTCCTATCATCAGAGGTCGAGGAGAACAATTTTCACCCTTCCTCCCTGTGACACCCTTTTAGATCCCTGAAAACCACTATCATGTCCCCTCTCGGTCTTCTCTTTTCTAAACTAAACAAACCCAATTCTTTAAATCTTCCCTCATAGGTCATGGTTTCTAGCCCATTCATCATTTTTGTTGTTCTTCTCTGGACCCTCTCCAATTTCTCCACATCTTTCTTGAAATGTGGTGCCCAGAACTGGATACAATACCCCAACAGAGACCTAATCAGCACAGTGCAGAGCGGACGAACAACTTCTCATGTCTGGCTCACAACACTTAGGTCCAGTGACTTTAAAAGCTACCCACTCCAAGGGAGCTAGGTTCCATTGACCTGACCTGTAGCCAGATCCCCATTTCACTAACCTAACTGCCCTAATTTTCAGTGGTTGCTAATGGCTCAGAGCTGTTGCTAACTAGGATGAGGTGACTCGAGCATGATGCCAGGTGCTGTTGGCAAACAGGGAAGTCGCTGTGTTGCTGTGGTCATGGGGTGATTGCTGTGTGGGTCAGTGGTGTTGTGGCTTAACCTGCCTTCTCTGCCTCTCCCACGCCTCCCCCTTCACTGGCGTTAAGCTTGGCCTAGTACTAGGTCACATGAGTCGCTGGTTCATTATCTTCCTCTCCGCTCCAGGGATCTCTTCGCATTTCCCCCTTTCTTCAGAGTGCTCTGGCTGTTCTTTCCAATGCTGCCCTAACCTCCCTGCCAGATCTCCACTGAGTCCTTGTCTTCCTCGCCCCCCTTTGCACAGCACTGTGAAAGGCACTGCTTCCAGCCGTACACTGCCGGACATCAGGTAACCTGCCTCACCTTTCTCCTCCCTACATGCTGGGTGCTTCGCCCTGAGTAGGCAGAGGAGAAGGAAAAGTTCTGTGGGCTTGGAGCCACACGCTGGTTAAATGTCCACTTGACGTGGGCGAAAACGCTCCTGCAGCTTCTAAGAGGAGTGAAGCATGAGGGGAAGGAATTAATTGGCTGTAGGAGAGGGGAGTGAGAGAGATGGAGACTGTGACTGGCTTGATCCAGCATGATAACTGGGTGTCTAAACTGTTGCATTTTTATGCTGCTGTTAATCTGCCCTTAAGCTGCCAGGCAGCAAACCCCAAAAGCCACCCCAGGACCTTCTTTTTGTATATGCAAGATGTGGCGGGAAGGGATTAGTCTCCTGAGGGGCTGACTTGTGGCCCACAGTTTGATTGGCGGTGAACTCTGTGGGCACCTACGTGGTGTGGTGGTGAACCTGGTAAGCAAGTTTTTAATTAAAATTCAGTCTGGGGAAGATGGTGAATGTAGAAAGATGGGAATTTTTTGTTTTAGCTGTGACATTAGTTGGGGGGGAACAGCTCTCGGAATCCCACATTTAATATCTGCTCTCTCTTTCGGTTGGGCTGGGCCGGCTCTGACCATCACTGTGCATCAGTCTGGTTTGTACACTATGGACCAAATCCAGTCCGGAAGCAGTCGCTTCGTGATATTTTTTTTTCCTTTTAAAAGCCCCAAAGCATGGGAAGACATTCACAGAAAATGTAGCTTCCATCCTAACGAGTCCTCACCGTGCAGCCGGCTGCTGGCAGAACAACAGCAGCCAGGAAACCTGTCTACGGGAAGATCTTTGTTCTTTGGACTGAGGCGTTGCTGATCTCGGGGGCTGTATCTTGCGTGTTTTGTTTCAGAGCAGCTTGGCTGGTAAGATGCAGCGAGTTCCTCTGAAAATTCTCTATTGAAGGAAGGACATTGGTAAGGGGCATGTGTTTTAGCATCAGACCCTCCGCTGGTGTAACTGCCGTCGCTCCATTAATGTCAACTGAGGATCTGGCCTCTGAAGTTTTCACAAGGAAGAACTTAGCCAGTCATGTCTTCCATTCAGGGGAGGCCCATGAGCCTAGGCAAACTAGGCAGTTGCCTAGGGTGCCGCTGGCCCGGGCGTCCGATGACGACGTAACGGCCATTGACGGCCGTGCAGGCGGGGATACCCGCCCTCTCCTAGGGGCCCCACCTGCCCCAGCCGGCCTCAGGCTGCTCCTGCTTCCATTATCCAGCAGCATTGTAAAAACTGGCTTCTTACAGTCTGGTCTGGTGGCGCACTTCTCCGCAGAGAAGCGTAAAGTCTGGTTCTTTCATATCCAAAGACAACCGCTGGCAAAAAAATGTATAAGTCCATTCAGTATCAGATGACTTGATGGAAAATTTACCAGAGTTTCCTGTTGGAGAAGCCAGACATTTGCTAGATGTGGTTGTTTATGTAGATGGGAGTGGGCAATAATTTTTTTGGGGGGGAGGGGGCACAATGAATTTTGTACATGGTCGGGGCCAGCTCCACCCTCAGAAGGGGAGGGGCCTGGAGTAGCAGGGGCGGGTCTGGGGCTAGCCTTCCGGGGGGTTGTGTGGGGCTGGAGTTGACTGGGGAGGCTTTGAATGAAAAACAGCAAAGGGCTCGCAGCTCCCAGCCCCACCGATACCGCGTTGCCTGGCAGCTGTCTGGGGTTGCTGGGGCTATTTAAAAGGCTCACAGCTCTGGTCCCTGCTGGGGTAGCCCCGCAACCGGGAGCCATTTGAATAGGATCCTGCTGCCTGAGCCACTGCCTGGAAATTTGGTGGCAAGGACAGCGGGATATAAATAGAAAGTGGCCAGATGCAGTCTGAGGGCTGGATCCAAGTGTTAGGTGGGCCGGATCCAGCCCCCGGGCCGCATCTTGCCCAGCCCTGGTGTTGATAGCTGTGTTCTCTGCAGTGGTCACGCTTGACCTACCAGTGACTGGAATTCAGAGCAACGAACATGGTGACCTGCGACAGTCTGTTTCTGTTGAAGTCAAGCAGCGTAGTGTGTCTGCAGATCTCTCCTCTGTCGTGCTGACACTGCTCCGCATGGCACACACGTCGGTGGCTCTGCAGGTAGCTGCTCCCTGGCAGTTAGTTCTGCTGGTGTCATGGGCCTACTGTCTTGTCTGATTGAACCGGGGAGCATTGAAGATACATCTCTGCCTCCACACCTATGACCAGAAAGCTGATTTTGCAGGGGAGCCTGATGGGCAGCAAGTCAGCCTGCTGGTTTTATAACAGGCAAACAACTGCAGCCATCACTGTATGCCAGGTGCCCCGGAAACCTGCTGCCAGTAGCAGAGTTTTAAAGACACGGCCTTGCTGAGGAGATGGAAGGAAAGAACGTTTAAAAAAAACCCGTAAGTGGTGGGATTTCCGAGGAAGTTATGTGCTCAGTCCCCAGTAGTGTTGTCTGGAATTTGGGGCTCCTCTGAAAACCAGCCTAAATCCCCCCGTTTTAGATGCTGACATGGCTCCTGCAATAGTAGCATCTGAGCACTTCCCTCTTGAATGTCGTTACTCTCGAAGTATCCAGGAGGTAGGGCAGGGCTATTAGCTTCATTTTACAGTTAGGGAAACTGAGGCAAGCTAAGTTACTTACCCGGGATCACATGGGAAATCTGTAGCAGAGCAGGGGATGGAACCAAAGTCTCCCAAGGCACTGATTAGGGCCGTAATCACAGGACCATCCTTCTTCTCTTGCCGTTTGCCGAGTTAGTAGCTCCAGCTCC